TGCTCCCCAAAAGATCATGTATATCAACTAATGGCATACTGCAGCCAGCAAATCCTGTGGCTTTGGGAGAAACTGGAAAACCTCTTGGACATCAGAGAACAGGCAGACTGTGCAGAAATGACATGGAAGAGATGTATGCTTCCCTGAACAAGATACGGATGATCAGAGGAACCTAGAGGCTGTGCCCTGGTAGAAGGTTGCAGTACAAACTGCAATGCTGCACTGGCCAACCACTCAGCTACCAGTCCTGGGAAAGGGAGAGCTGAAGAGCGTGGAGGCACATGCCCTTGACTGAGGGACGCACATGCAGCAGAGCTGGGGTGCTCACAGAGGGTCCAGGGGTCTCGGTTGAAATGAGTAAGAACGGTGTACTGGGCTGCAGTTTCCCTCCTTCTAACCTTTCCATATGGTTCTGCCCTTTTGAAGCTCACTGGAAGCACCTGGTAACATCAGTCTTGGCTCTGAAACCCCAAAAAGGAGCAATTTGTGATGCTACAAACAGGAGTCTGGTCATCATCCCCAAATCCTCCCAGCATTCACACTAGCAACTTGTCATTCCAGCTCACTCTCCAGGCCCTTGACTTGAAAGATGCAGGGTCAGACCTCAGTCTTAAGGAAGCCTGGAGACTCCAAACATTGAAAATCATGTAAGAACTGCAATGGTACCTTCTGGAAAGATAGAAGTAGTTCATCGCTGAGTTGTTACTACAAATGAAAAATAGGGAAATCTAAAAAATGTGTATAGACAAAAAAATATAAAAAGGCAACTTAAGACACTAAGATAATATATAATCATAGGGAGTGAACAATTGTCCAGATTCCAACCACAAAGATTTGGAAAATTTTATCTTCCTATCCGAGAGTTCAAAATTGCCATGATAAAACTTTCAAAGGAAATAAACAAACTCAAGCCAGTGGTACAAGAGAACTCTGAAAATATAATCAAAGAGATAAAACAAAATTCAAAGAAACAAATGAGTGTAATGAGAAATAAAATTAATGAATTGAAAGCAGAAATGTTTAAATAATGGAGTTGCAGGATATGAAAACATCAACAATGGAGACTTAAGGAAAAAAATGTGAAGAAAGCTATGAAAGCAGAATAGACTACAGGGAGGATCAAATCAGTGACTTTCAAAATAATAGTGCACACTTTCAAAATAATAGTGCACACAAGGTCCAGATGGAAAAGGAAGGGAAATCTGAACAACAAAAATATGAAACACTTCAAGAACTATCTGACTCTATTAGGAAAGGCAACATAAGGATAATGGGTATTCCAGAAGGAGAAGAGAGAGATGGGAACAGAGAACTTATTTAAGGAAATAACAGGGGAAAACTTGCCAAATCTGGGGAACTAAATACCCAAAGCCTTGAAGCTAAAAGAACACCTGGTTATCTAAATATATTGATACATATTGATTCATGACACATAGTCATGAAACTACCAAGCGTTTGGAACTAAGAAAGAATACTGAAAGCATCTAGAGACAAAAAGCAGGCAACTTATAAAGATACTCCCAGTAGGTTCACATTTCACATCTGATTTTCTGAGGAAACCCTATGGGCAGGAAAAGAAAGGGATGATGTATCCAAAATACTTAAAGATAAAAATTACTAGTTAAGAATACTATATTTTGCAAGTCTCTTCTTTAGATACAAGAGAGACTAAAAGTTTCCCACAAACAGAAATTTAAGGTCTTACTTCATCAACACTGGATATCATTACAAGAAACACTAATAATAGCTCTCCTATCTAAACCACAGAGAAGCAAATTCACAAAAAACAGAACAATAAAACAGATATAACCACAAAATTAAATATACAATGGCAGCAACAAAGTCTCATATGTCAATAATCATCCTAAATACAAGTGGACGGAAATCACCAATCAAGAGACACACAGTGGCTGCCTGGATCAGGAAACAATCCTTTATACCGCCTCTAGGAGTCCCATTTGACCTCCAAATATAAATGTAGGCTCAAATTAAATGACTGGAAACAATTCCTACAAGCAAATGGGACCCCCCAAAAGGGCAGGATGTTCATACTTCTATCCAATAAAATAGATTTGCATCTAAAAAAACATAGTAAGAGACAGAGATGGGCCTTATAAAATGGCTAAGAGATCAACATGTCAGGAAGACATAACACCCGTCAATAGATATGAGCCAAATGAAGGAGTATCAAAATATATAAGCTATCAAATGTGAAAGCAAGACACTGGCAGCAACACAACAGTAACAGGGAACTTCAACACCCTAATTTTGAACAGATTATAAGTTAGACCACAAGGCCTTAATAGGCATTTATAGGGCACTGTACCCCCCAAATCTGTACACACATTCTTTTCACATGCAGAAGGTACATTCACAAGGATATAACATATTAGGTCATGAAACAAAGCATTAGGTTCATGAAAACTGAAATCCTAACAAGTATCTTCTCTCATCACAATTCTATCAATCTAGAAATCAACCACAAAAAAGAAAGCAGGAAAAACCTCAAATATCTGAAGACTTTGGCTGGTTATTGGGTTCATGAGAAATCAAATAATAAAATTTTAAAATAGCTGGAGATAATAAAAAATGAAGACAGACTCTACCAGAACCAAAGGGATACAACAAAAGAGAAACTAAGAAGGAAGTATATCACAAAATGGTTTTATATTAAGAAACAAGAAGAGTTCAATAATCTAACCTTATACCTTAAGGGACTAGAAAAAGAAGAACACAAAGCAAGTAGACAGAGGAAATAATAAAATTAAGAGAAGATAAATAGAATAGAAACAAAAAAAGACCGTTAGAAGATCAATTAAACAAAAATATTATTCTTTGGAAAAAATAAAACAAAATAGACAATCCAGTAACAAGGCTTTCTAACACTAAGCGTCTAAAAAAGATTATAATTACTAATAAAAAAAGGGAGAAAACTTTAATCAATAGAATCAGAAATGAAAGAGAAGTTATAACAGACACCTCAAAAATACAGATCATGAGATTATGTATGCAATTAAGTTGAATAACCTAGGAGAAATGGACAATTTCTTAGAAATATATCCCTCTGACATTGAATCAGGAAGAAATAGAAAAACTGAGCAATTCAATTACAAGCAAGGATATTGAAACAGTAATTAAAGTTCTTGCAAAAAAAAAAAAAAAGTCCAAAACTGTATGGTTTCACTAGTGAGTTGTACCAACTTTCAAAGATGAACTAATCCCTATCCTTGTCAAACTTTCTAAAAAATTAAGAAAGGGGGGACATTTCCAAACACATTTTATGAGGACAACATTATGCTGATAACAAAGAGAGAGAAAAAAATCACTAAAAAGGGAAAATTACAGACCACTACCCCTAATGAACAGAAGCAATGATCCTCAACAAAATCTTAGCAAACTGAATTCAACATTTCATTTAAAGGCTCAAATGTCATAATGAAAAGGGATTTGTTCTAGGATGGTTCAAAATCTGAAAAATCAATAATATTTACCACATCAACTAAAGGAAATATTTTAAAAAATCATATAAACAGACACTGAAAAAGCACTTGATAAAGTGTGATATACATTACTGAAAATATCCTCCAAAAAATGGGAACATATAGGATGTGCCTCAACATAAAAAAGGTCATACATACCTACAGTTAACATTCAGTAATGAAAAACTGAAAGATGTTTCTCTAAGATCAGGTACAAGATAAAGTCCTCTTTCACTACTAGTATTCAACATAATATGTGATGTCCAAACTAGAGCAATTAAGCAAGAGAAAGATATAAAAGGAATCTAAGTCAGGAAAGAAGAATTTTAACTATCACTATTTGAAGATGACATGATGATATACATAGAAAACCCAAAGATTTGAACACATGAAACTATTAAAAATAATAAATCAGTACAGCAAAGTGACAATTTAAAAACCAACTTACAAATATCAGTTCTGACCCTAAACAACAAGCAATCTGCATCACTTGAGTCACCTCTAAATACCTAGTTCTCCTACAAATTGTTCATTGAGGTTTTCTAGACATTTGGGTTGCAATATCCCCTCTTGTCTGAAAACTTCCCAAGCACTGATATTGTACCTAGGACAGTGGGGAACAAAAGGCAAACAAAAATAATAATGAATGGGAGTTTGTGAAGTCTACCTTACTTCAAGCAAGTAAGACAGATTACTGCTCCAGGACAGAAATTCTGGCCTACGTATCTGTATCTAAATGTCTTGCTTTGGACACAAGACAGGCTATTTAGTAGACATTTATTGAAGTAATAGGTGGCCTGCTTTATGACTTACTGTGAAGTAGAACTCCACTTCCCTGAAAATTGAGTTGGGAGAGAGAATGGCACTCTCCTCATCACCAAGATAAGGAACACAGGGATCAGAGGAAGGTAGTGAGAGGTGGCATCACTCCCCATGGTCAGCTGGTAAGTGGGGATCACCACTCATTAGTCAAGCCCTGGTCAAACAAGCTGCCACCCCAATGGGTCAGAGGGGAGACTTTGCACCCACCCCTTTTACAAAAATAGAAGCTGAGAGATCAGAGACTCCTTTGATTGCCAAGAGCTTCCCAGATGTGGAATTAGAGGTCTCCAACAAGCCTCCCACAAAGAAGCCTAGGACATGGCTCACCCAGTAACTATTTCCTCACAACCTTGTTTAGATGTAGCTTTGCACACACAACCCTCAACCCAACCTTTCTTTGTTCCCTCTCAAACATGCCAAATAAATCAAGGGCTGAGGCTCTTAGTTCTGCACAGCTATTTTAAATTAATCTTGAAGCATCTTAAAAGGACTATTTCTCCCCCACCCCACACCCAGCACATTTTCTGTGGCAGCTGGATCAAGCCTGAGCAGCATTTTCACCACTGACTCAGTATCAAAATATCCCTGGGCTTCCCTCTCCCCATCATCCTTTCATCCCTGTTTGGTTTTGAGATCTTCCCCCTTCCTCCATCCCTTGACACACACAGACACACACACACAAACCCACCCTCCTCCTACCTTCTCTGCATCCTGCTCAAAGAGTCGCAGCTGGAAGCACTGGTCCAGCTTGAGCTTGCGCACGTGCCACATCTGGTGCAGGTGCTGCCGGGTAGAGTGCAGCTTGTCCAGCAGGCTGGTGATCTTGGGCACCAGGCTCTGGAAGTCAGCGCTGCCCGGGATGCAGTTGCGCCCTGAGAAGCCATCGCTGCAGCGGATGCACTGCAGAAGCCGCTGCCCCTCGCGGTCCAGCTCCTCCACAGGAGCCTTCAGCACCTTCTTCTTGAGCTGCGTGTGCTCATCGATGAGCCGCCGAGAGCCCTCTACATCCACAGGGAACTCCTTCCTGGCAAGCATCTCCTGCAGGTCCTCCAGGCGAGAAAGCAGGTGCACCGCGCTATTGAAGAACTCCTCCAGGGAGAGCCGAAGTTCGATCCACTCCTCGTGGTTGTAGTCCAGGGAGCCATCGAACTCCTCTGTCAGCTGCGAGGGGTCCACCAACTTCGTGAGGCCCTCCACAGACACCATGCTCGTCTGGGAGGGGCAGAAACAGAGAGTAAGACTCGGTGAAGGGGGGAAGGTAGGGAGGTGTACATCAGGGCATAGAAGGCACAAAGAGAAAAGTCAAGGGGAAAGGTCAAAGTAAGTCCACACAATAAGGACATGATATGGCTGGAAAGGGTGAATGAGAGGGCAGAGGCCTACTAGTCAAAAGCCACCAACCAGGCAGGTTGGGAGTTTTGACAGCCTGGCTGACTGGTTCAAAAAGCTTCTCCACATGCCTACCATTTGCCATTCAAGGATAGACTGTCTTTATGTCTCTGCTCCCTCACCTTTCTCCTCCCCTTTCTCAAGTCAACTACACATAGGGCTTCAGTTGATGAAAGAGTGGAAAAACTAACAGATCAAGTGCCTGGGGCTCTAGGTCAGGCCCATCCCTGATGGTACAGAGGTGAGAGTCTCCGACTATGAAGTTATCAGCAGCTGCTGCAACATGAGTTTGAACCCTAGCAAGGGAGCTGTTCCCTTCAGCAGTGTATTTCAGTGGAGCCACCTATTCTGCTCCCTAATATGTCTCTGGTGAATCCTGTCACCCCCACACCTCTAGCCTTCACCCCAGTTCTTGTGTGCATAAATTTTAAAAAAGCTTTAAAAATAAAATAAAACAAGCCCATGACCCAATATATCATCATATGGGATTAAGGTCAGTAATAGAGCTACCGGGATCTGAGCAGATCTTCTTGCCTCAGCTCCATTCTCAGTGTTGCAGTGAACAGAATCAGGGCAGAGGACAGGAAGTCTGTGCCCTCGGTTTTCTTGGTGAGCCTCCACAAGTTCTTGGAGAGCAGAGTAGAGAATGTCTCCAGCAAGCCAAGCTACACATGCTGACACAGGCAACTACCCACATTTAACAAGAAACAGCTGCCCTTAGGACACCCCACCTCTCTCTCCTGGGGAAGAGCAATCATAAAAAATTTTGGTCTGAAAAGTAGATGACTGGATTAAAAAGATGTGGTACATATACAAAATGGAATATTATTCAGCAACCAAAAAATAAACAAAAATAAACACATGCCTTTCGCAGCAACATGGATGGAGCTGGAAAAGCTTAGTGAAATAAACCAGAAAGAAAAGGAAAAATACCAGATGGTTTCACTCATAGCAAGAATATAAAGGACCAGCTGAGAAAATAATAATAGTAATGAATGAGCTATATATACCAGAGACATTTTACGGGGGTGGAATGGGATCAAAAAACATTGGGGGGAGGGAAATGCACTGGACTATGGTGATGACACATGGGTGATTTGGTGATGGGAAGCCCATGGGGATTACAACTGAGATGGAAAACGGCACAAAATGATGTAAAAATAAACTATTATATTATTTTTAAAAAATTATTTTGGTTTAGGGCCTGCCCTATACTCTCTCACTTTGTGAAACAGTCTCACTGGGACAAACTATTTGAGTTTTTAGAGACCTAGTCTCTTCCTCTGTGTAAAGGAGAGAATGCTTTTCTCTGAGGACTAACCTGAGCTTACATCAGTGTGTGGGGGGCACCATGGACCCCCAACATGGAAGGCATATTCAGAACTCGCTGGTGCCCACTGTGATGATCTGAAGGCTACAAAACTACTGGAGCCCTTAAAAAAAAGTTCTTTCCAAGTCTTCTGTTTTCTATGCATTTCTTCTTCTTTTCCCCTCCATATTCTTTCTAAGACTCAAAAAGGTGCTGCCTATGCCTGGAATGGTGGTTCTCAGATGCAACTGCTCATTAGAATCCCTTGGGCTCTGTACAAAAACACTGATGCTAACACCCACCCCCTGGACATATATTTAGTTCACCTGAACTGGAGTGTGGACAGGGGTAGGTTGACATGCTCCTGCAGGTGATTTGAATGTACATCCAGTAACATAAATCTCTGCCTAGATACCTGCTATTCAATTTGTGGTTCTCAAACCCCAGCATTAGCATCACCTAGGGGTTTGCATTATAAATGCAGAATCTTGGGCCTTACTCCAGACCTACTGAGTCAGAACCTTAATTTAACAAGCTCTTCAATGGGCTCTGTGCATCAATTTTGAGCAGGCCTGTTATCAAGTATTTCTCCTTTCAATAGGCTCAAAGTCTACTGCTTCCAGGAAGCCTCCATGATAACCTTCACCAATTATTCATGCATTATCTGCTACTGAACGCAACTGAATTCTCATCTCTATCATCTACTGAACGCAACTGAATTCTCATCTCTATCATCTACTGAACACAACTGAATTCTCATCTCTATCACCTATTGCATGAGTTGCCACTAGGTAAGTCACTTGCCTTTATAAATATAAAGTCACTGCTTTATAAATATTTTTTCTGAGTGAGAGGGTCTCAGTTGTCTTTCTTGTACTTGGTTAAGAGGCAAAGACAAACTTGCTCTACTTGGGGGTGAAGTGGGGTGCAAGGAGATAGGAAGTGCTAGACAGCTACACTGAAGCAAAAGTTCCAGACTTGTTTTAGTCTCTTCAGATTTCTACACCTAAACTTATAGGCTTGTTGTCACCACTTCTGTATAAACAAACCAAAAATACAAAAAGCATTTCCCTGCAGAACTTCTATCACTGAGATGGGATGCTGGGAGAGTATGAGAGTTAACTGTTTATACACCAAGACCAATGTCTTATGTTATTTACATGAGTGCAAACTGCTTCAGTCAGGGTGTTGTGATCAAATCACAGCCTACAGCGTTCAACCTCCTCAACACACACACACACACACAGGTGTTCCCAGCCCCTGGGAGACAAGTCAGGAGCAGGAACTGACTGCAAGATTAAGAGCAGTTCCATTTTCCAAGGTACACACACACCAAGCTTCACCCTCGTACACATTAGGACTAGAATTCCAAGAAAGGGAATTTAGTTAGGACAAAGATTCCTAAATCATTGACTTAATCTGCTATGTCATCATTAAACATTCTCAGGAGAGACATGTGCCCTCTGGAAAATTCTAGTTGAAAAAGTACTTGTTTCCCCTGAATATAAAAGCAATTCTCAAAAGAAGATAGGAAAATATGAAGAAAATAATTCACCCATAATCCAGCCCCACCCATCCCCATGGCCAGAGAATTTCATTCTCTTTCAGTCTTCTCTATATCTACATGTACAAGACAAATTTCAGATTATATTGTCTATAGTGTTTTATCATTCAGCTTTTTTTAAACAATGTATCTCGTGAGCATTTTTGTGACATTTCTTCCCTAATATGATTTTTAATGACTTTATAGTATCTGTGTATTAATGTTACCAAACTTAAGCTAATAAACATTTAGGCTCCAACCTCTGTGTGTGTGTGTGTGTGTGTGTGTGTATCTGGTGTGTATAAATATGTGTTTTCTTGCCAAAATACTATAATGAACAACCTGGGATACATTTTGTTCATAATTATAATTAGCTTTTCACCTTTTTGTTTTAAGTTTTACATTGAAGTATTTCCCTAGAAGAATTACCAGAAAAATGGATACAAATTATCTGACACAAATTACAGTGTTGCCAGTAACACTGCCCCAATTTACACACTCAGCAGAGTAAATAGGAATGCCTAATGAAACCTTGCATTTAGGACAATCCCTCAATTCTTTCATTCCTCCCCAGACTCTAAGAAAGGCCCCAAGGGCCTACTCATTCTGCAGTATCAGTCCGTTATGTTGGGCATCATAGGGTAAATGGAGACATGGAAGTGAGAAATGAGTAAGTGGCAGAAGGGAAAGAGAGGGGAGGCTCTGAGGGGCCTGGCTCACCTCAAAGATGAATTTAGAGCTGCCAAAGTTGGTCTTCTGCTTCTGCCAGAAGTTGTCGGGTTTGATGATGAGGGCCACATGGATCTCAGCTGGAAAGGCTTCCTGCAGTGTCTTAAGGAGCGGCTTAATGAGGTCCCACTTGGAGCCCCGCATGTCGATGATGACGGTGAAGCCACGTTTGCACACGTCCTCACTGTGGGGAGGTCAGAGGTCAGGCATGGTCACTCTGGGGAGCTGAGACTTTGGCACACACAGTTGGAAGGCACCCAGAAACCTGCATTCCTTTTCATTTGGGCCACCCTTCCAACTTCACACCAGGTCTCCTGGCTACCTTCCCATTCAACTCAAAATGTACTATTTCAGTAAGCCTCTGGTAGATTAGCCCCATCTGAGTAAGGGCACTCTGCCTTCTCCCAGCTCTTAAAAATAACTCAGCCTCCCCTCCAGTTAACCGCACCTGTTTGGAAGTTTACTGTTTGAGTATTTACACTTGTGTTTGATTTTCTTTTCATTTTTGTCTGCTTCCCTTATTCCTAAAATAAATGGTTTCCCCCCTTTTGAATACCAGTTCCCTAAAGGACAGGGACCCTGCTACCCTAAATTCTGGGGTGGCTGTCCTTCCCTACACCCACATCAAAGGCAGACACTGGTACATTTTACCAAGAACCCTGGTACATTTTACCAAGAACCCAAACTGGACCAAAGACACTTTTCAATAAAGGGCTGTAGGCCTGTTCTAGCAATTGATTTGAGATGACACAAAATACAAATAACATAATTTCCTCCTCTGTATTTACTTTAGGATGTAACTTGTAATTCAAAATGTATGTTGACTTAAAAAGAACGGTTGCTGAGTCATGCTGATTGCTCACAGACAACCAGGTGGGACTAACTGGCTGTCATCAGACTGTCTCAAGTCCTCCCATCATGATGAGAGTCAAGATGTAAAAAGGCACCTGTCAGGCAGCTAGGAGAAGGGAAACTACCCTTGAAATCAAGGTCAGATGAAATGATAGTGACCATCTTGAAAACCAGGAAATAACCAGACTAAGTGAATCAAGATGCTGCTATATAACTTACTAAGTGGCAAAGTTTACATCAACACTTGAATTTCAACCAATACTATAAGAGTTGAAAGAAGTAAAACAGTGATGGTCAAAGTAGTCACAATATCTCACTTCAGAAGTAAGTATGTCTTGGTAGTGAAGGGGATAGGTTTTTTTAACCTATCCACTTATTTTATAACTCAAAATAAACTGGTTAAACCACATTTTTATATAAATATTGGTACTCTATTTCCTGAGGGCAAGTACTTCATTTCTTATTTCTTACACTGTAGTTACTAAAGCCAGGATTTCCATGACCCGCTGATGTGCAGCACCATGTATAAGTTGCTTAAAACTACTAGAGATAAAGCCACAAAAGAAAACAAAACCTCTTTTCAGACTTCATTCTCAAATCTCAACCAGGGATGAGAATGTCACATTCTGGTGAAAAGACCACAGCTCCCCTGAGTGTGTGACTGTCTCCCACACAAGGCCACTCACTTAGACTCCCCAGTTAAACAGGAAACTCTCCAGGTAAGGATACTCTCCCCACTTCTTCTAGTAAATCAAAGGACTAGACACAGCATGGGAGAAAAGCTGAGTCTTTTGTTTCTTCCCAAATCCTGCTCCCTGAAGGAAAGGGCTTGCCTCTTCTCTGACACTAAGTTAACAAGTGTCCAGAGGCTTTCATTAATAATTTCCTGCTGCCCTGCTGCCCTGTTGTCTGAAGCAATGTGACTTTTAATTAAATTATGGGAGTTCTTTCCAATTATAAGATAAACACCTGGTAATTATAGGAAAGTTAAAATATTCAAAGATCTTTATGAGATGTTAATGACAGGAATTTACAATACTCTGGCCTATTTCCTGTCTGTTTTCTTTGTGCATGTAATTTTCATGTTTCCACTTTTCACTATAATGTAGCATTTTCTTGTGTCTAAAATTTCATTGACACTAGTATATTTAATAACACATAATCCATCTTACAACTAAAACATAGCTGCTTTAGTTATTCTCATTACGTTATATGAACATGTAATAGAACTTACATATTTCCCAGCAACAAAAGTACCCCAGTTAATCTATCCTCACTAGCACTGGTCACTGAATTTTTTAAATCCTTGCTCATTTCCTAGGAAAAATCTTCCATTATATTTTAATTTCCATTTCTTTGATTACTAGCTTATATCTATTGGCTGCTAAGTATTTCTTCTGTGATTTACCTGATCATTTCTTTCCCCCATCTTTCTACTAGGGTTTAATGATTTTCACATTGAGCTTAGTTGCATTTATCTTGACTCATATTTGTTGCATACTCACTTATGTCAGGCACCTGTGGGTCTTGACTTTTCCCAGAGATGACTGACTTGTTTACCTGCTCCTCAGTCTCCACCATTATATTTAGGCTAATGTGAGAAATCTCCATTCCTGACATCAAATAGTCAAAAGAACTGGGATTTGGCTAAGCCATCATCTACATGGTGGACTGTATACATAGCTGGCTATATACATACTAGTATATACTAGCTGTATATATAGCTGGCTATATACATACTAGTAACCATTAATTTCTGACAACTAAAAGTAGAATCAGGTACTAATATTTTCTATAAGTTCTCACTATCTCAGAAGAGAGGGAAAGAAGCCAGGGTATGAACAACGAAAGCTAATCTAACTGGCGACTTTCTGTGAAAACAACCTAGACTTCCCCAGACATTCTGTATGTTTGGTTTTGAGAAAGATGCATAGCTGGGAGACAGAAAGGAACTTTTTTTTTAAAGGTTGATTTATTTATGCATACAGAACTAGGGTACAGGCCAGAGGTGCAGGAGCAGTGAGAGGATTCACCAGAGACAGTGGGGAGCAGAACAGGCAGAGTGACAAAGTACATTGCTGAGGGGAGCAGTGGTTGAGACAGGAGAGGTCTGCCGTGCCCGAAAAGAACTTTTACCCAGAACTTACTCTATACCAGGGGCTGTGTTTGGAAACTTGACATTTATGATTTTACTTTATCCTTAGAATATCTTATAAATAACCTTATCTTCATTTAAGAGATGAAATCGAAGCACAGAATTTGCTGAAGGTTGCACGACTAGTAAGTGATTAGAGAAAGAATCAAAGACGTTATAGACCACACCCAAATCACTAGAATCATATTACACCCACCACTTCCCCCCTACCTATGGTGTTTTATGATTGGGTTCATGATGAAGGGATTAGGTAAGAGGGCTCACAGGAGATGGGAGAAATAAGGCAGAGTCCAAGTGGCTGATCTCCTTTCTGTAGTCTGTGCTAAATCACACAGTCACAGGAGCATACTGGATTCAAGTTCAAGTACTTAACTTTGGTTTAAGCATGTAGGTTAGAGGAGAAGAGTGATAACAGAGTGGGGCTATGAATGCTTTAGGAAGACTTGTTCCTGACTCTGACCCTCCACTTGTACACTACTCCCAGGAGACAATGAAACTTGCCTTCTACTTACACCAACTCTTGTAGACTAAGTTCCTAGTATCTGGAACCCTAAAATTCTCACCCTTAGCCTATTTCCAGCATCACAAAGACAAGTAACACCATCAATATGAGTAGGCCTGAGGGTTGACAAAGTATTGCTATTTGCAAGGACATGAACAGAACATGTATGTGTAAGCTGGGGTATCCCCATCATGAGTGAGGCCCCCTGCAGGGCAGGGCAGACAGGTTGAGGGCAGGCAGAGAGGGCAAGCAGAGCATGGTCTGGGGGCTGGTCAACCTGTGCAGTGAAACCACTGACAGGTTCATCAGAGAGGGAACATGATCCCTATACCAGAGAGTCTGCAGCTGTGCAGAGAGAAAGAGTAAATTGGGGTCACCAATGGGAGTGATGAAAGCAGAAGTATAAAAAAAAAAAAGCCACCTTTAAATCTTGGCTTAACTGTTCTTAAGTAAGGTTTTCCTTGGCTCACCCCGTTTAAAGCCACAGCCATCATCTGGCACTCAAGACCTTCCCTCCCTGATGTATTTCCCTTTAGCACTTGTTATCCTCTGAATCAAGTATTTCACTTACTCAATTTTTGTCCATCTTCCCTCATTGGCAAGTAACATCAGTGAAGGCAGGGTTATATTCATTTCACAGTTGGAGTCCCTAACACAGTGACAGGTGAATGCTGAGACTCAATACATAGAGTCTGTACAGGCAGCAGGTTAAAGGTATGGAATCTAGAAGCAACATTCCTCAGTTCATATCCTGCCACCTCATATACTTACTGAGGAAACTTGGGCATATTACTTTTAGCTTTCCTGTGTCTCATCTCTATCATGTAAAACATGAGCAATAGTATCTACATTATAGGGTTATTTTAAAGATTAAGTCTGTTAACACACATGAAGCACTTAAGACAGTGCCAGCCATTGAGTCTCAAGTCTTACTGCTGTAGAAGACACTGCTGGCATCCCCCAGGGCTCCTCTGCTGACCACTGTGCCAACCCCCAGCTCCATGAGTGTGGCTACCATCAGCTTATACTTGTGACCACCTCTGGGGACCTGCCCTTAGCTGATGGGTACCGCCTCACCAAGAGGCACCTGGGTAGAGTCCCACTCTAAGGAACCAATGCCTCATCTATACATCGGTGCCAAAGCTCAGCTTCTTAACTGCAAGGTGGAGGAACTCTGGTGTCCCCATTTCTCTAGTCAGTCTCAGCTAGACTTTATCTTCCTCTTCCCTACTCTGCATCTCCAACTCCCCCATTCCCTTACAAGTTGTTCCTTGAAGGGAATGCCCTTAAGAAACCATTTGCACTGAAATCCCTGTCTCTACTAGAATAATAATATAAATGTAAACTCTCTCTCTCTCTCTCTCTCTGTATATATATATATATATATATATATATATATATATTTCATACATATATGAAGCTAGTGAAGGCAATTTGATATATGGTCTGCATATTAAAAGAGAAATTTTGACTTGGGAGTCACACAGTACCTAACACAGAGTAGGTGGGCAGCAAGTTTTGCTGAATGAATATTCCCATTGAAGGAGGCAGTAAATGCGCTCAGAAATGGGTGAGATCATCCAATGAAAATGAATTAAGATGAAAAGAACAGTCTTCTCAGTCATGGATAGAACTGATGGGAATATCAATGGCTAAGAGGTGAGAGAAGAAAGTA